CAGGAAAAGATGTCTTTCCAGATCTAGGAAAAAACGGCTCCAGATCTAGGAAAAAAAAAAATGTAGCCTTTCCAATGTCTTGTGATGTGATGTCCCAGAACCCAAGCAAAAGAGACAAGGAAGCTTCCTTGAGCAGAAGGCAAGGGAGACTGGAGCTTGGGATCGTGCATAGGAGGGGTCTTTTGGTTTTTACTCCTAGGGGAAGACTGGAAGGAAGGAGCAGGATCCCCTTGAAAAAAATTTCACCTTCAGGTAATAGGGGAAGGTGCCAGGTCAAGAGAAGGAGTCTTGGGAGTGGGTGAAGGTGCTGAGGTGAACAACGGGAATGCTTCTTGTTTTGCATAGTCCTATTAGTGCATTTCTTACTTTATCTTGTGTCTTTGCTTTTCTGTGTTTTGAAGTAAACGTATTCCTTTCGGTGTAAATCTCACCCAGGGATAAAATGAGTCCAGTGGTTTGTCATGCCCTCTGTTAATCCTCAAGCCCAGGAGTCCTGTGCCCGGGTCTGGTGGTCCTGTTGTGAAAAGAAGGTGGGAGGGGTCCAGAGAAGAGCTGCAGAAGTGATCTGATGGCTGGAGAGAGCAGCCTGAGGTGAGAAGTTTAAGGATGCTGTTATTCTTTGCCTGAAAAATGATGTCTCGACGAGAGCTAACACAACCACATCTTTGGGCATGGAGGATGGGGGGCTCAGATCTAATGAAGGACAGCAAAACAAGCGAGTAACCAGAAAACAAGCTCCTGGAAGGAAATACAGCTCCCTAGGAGTGCGTCTTCTGAGGGCTGCTCTTTCTCCCAAGGGAAATACCACTTCCCATCACTGCTGGGGTTTGATGAGCTTGCAGTGAGCACAAGGCCAGATCTTGATTCATGTTGTCAGGGGGATGAGCTGGTTGCCCGACACCAAGGATCTCCATCCAGGATGTGCTCAGATCCGATAGGAATTATTCCCCCTGCTTCCCCACCATCATTGCCCTATTCCCTCTGAGGGCCGTGCACAAAGATGGCCCATTTCTCTTGCCAGCCAGATCAGTGACTGTGCAGGTGTCTGTCTGCCGTGTCGTTGGGTCAGTAACCCTGCTGACCGAGGAAATCCTGATGCTGAGCCACTCGGGTTCCCTCACTTGTCATTTTTCTAACTGATCCCTTCATTTGTACATGCTTATTCCCTATTTTCCAGTCTATCTATACAAGTACTAGGCAGTGGTGAAGGGGGTCCATCATGCTTTTGATGGGTTTGCCTGTGTTTCCCTTTTATCATCTTGGCTTGAGGCCTGGCTGGGTAATTGCACTGGTCTCCTTAGTAAGGAGACTAGGCAAGAAATGAGGATATGGATGGACGTAACCAGGCATTTCCACCACTTTAGCTGTATTTATTAGCCAGCAGCTCTGAACAGCATACAGGAAAAAGAGTGGCCATGCCAGAGAAAAGGAGAGTTTCAGTGTTATGAGCTCCTGAATTCAAAGCTATTGCATTTTCATGAAATGCCAATGACTAAGGGCACGAATGAACGGCACAGATTACCCCATCCTCACAAGCTGCTGAGTGTCAGCCTTGGTGATTGTCCCTACGTGCTCTCCACTCGGAGCAAATGCCAAAAAAGCCTGACCTAATTTAAGCACCTTCCAGTGTGGGCTGTGTTACTTTGCATTTGCAACAGGCTAAGAGCATTAGTGGAAGTTCCCCTGCCAAGAGCATTTTGCCTGGCTGGCTGGCAGTAGCTCGGTCAGCTGAACACTGAGCCCTCGTGTTTAGCTGCATTCACTGCCGGACTTTTTTCAAATGTCAGTGACAGACACGAACAAGTGACCAGGGAAGTGCTTATTTCATGTTGTCTCTTGTTATGCTTTGCTTGCATCTGACGGATCAATTCTGGGGTCACGCTGCCTTAAACTTAGCGGGGTCAGAACTTTGCTGCTGCTACGCGCCATGAACCCAAAGCTTCTATCAGGCTCTGGGACTCAGGGAGAGATTTAGGACCAACCAGCTGAGCAGTGTAGCTCTTCTTAGCAGTGCCTGCACCTGCAGACCCGTATTCACGTGGACTTGTAGCTCCCAGCTCTGCAAAGCACAGCTGAGACACAGAGCTGTGAAAGTCATGATGTTTTTGGAGCCTGTGGGCATTACCGGTGTGCCACAACTACGGCATGCTCAGTTGAAGACAACGGGGCTGTATCCTCATTAGCGTGAACAAGCAGAAGCGTTGATCCCACCTGACCAGGCTGGCAGCATTCAGCCTAGCTGGCTTTTTTGAAGGGCATCTTCTATGTGTGAGAGCCTGCGATAAAACACAGCTTTACCACAAGAATGGAAAAGCCCAGATGGTGTTGAGAAATGCACTACAGGTTGCCTTTGGCTTTTTTACCTTACCTGGGACCCTCGCCCACACACCTCCTCTGCCCATGGCCCAAGAACTCATTTAAGCTTAAGCCTGGGTCCCCTGTCCCTGTCTGAGCTGCATTAGATATATCCTTATCTCCAGCCCTGGCTGCTGCATGGACCTTGGACCTGCCTTGTGCCTTTGTCTCCAGCCCCTTCTCCTGCTCCAGGCTGGGCTCCCTGGAGGGACCCTGGTCCCGGTTCATCTCCTTGCTGCGTCTGGGGCTGTGATGGACCCTGTCCCACCTCCAATGCTACCGGCCATGCTGAGACCCCATGGGACTGTGCCCTGCTGGGGAGGGCATGGCCAGCGCTGGGGTCCCCTCAGCTCCTGGCTCATCCCCTCCTTGTGCTGCTCCCTGGGACATGGCCCTGCAGGGTCTTTCTGAGATCCTCGAAGCTATATCAGCACTCCTGCCAGGCATGGAGACTCCCCTCTGCACACAGCCTGAATTGCAGTTTCCTGCAATTATGAAAGCAAATAACCATGTCAGGATCCGGGTCACCCTTCAGCCCTGCAGCCCTAGGGCTGGGCTGCCCAGTGCTGCTGCCAATGTGCATGTGCTTGGAATGTACAATATTGCATAGCCTAAGGCATGGAGACCTCTTAGTGAGTGTTTGAAGGTGCTAGGTTGTTTGTATTCATCGTTAACATGCAATGCCTTAGAATCACTGTAGTGTGGATCCTTCAGATCAAATTTACTGTTCAAACCCACATCCCATTTTGAATCTTGGTGCTTTATCTCTTGATGATGACACCGGCGAGGTAAGACTGCAGATCCCTTTCCTCGCGGGGCGCAATGGTGATCTGGAGATCATTTCTGCAGGGTTGACAGGAAAATGTCCTAAGTTGGGTCACTGATGATGATGCTGGGTCCCTCCATGACTCTTGTCGCCCAGCTTTGGTGGTGGCCCGCTGGTGAGAAGGTGGGAGGGCAGGTGCCTGGTTCTCCTTTCCAGGCAGCGTGGTGCCAGGCTTGGCAAGCAGGAATTAAGAGGACTCTTCGTGCCCACCTGGCTTTAGTGAGAAGAGCAGCCAGCCGGCAGGCTCCACC